ACAAGCAAACATTTCTCTGCTGTTTATGTTTGAGTCCCACACAGCCAATGAAGATCTGCCTGACAGCAATCCCTGGATGCCCCAGAAAGAAAATGGGCCACAGACTGGATCCAACTTGCTCCGTTTCAACTGACACTCCGGCCAGAGCTTCGGGAACTGACTTCAATCAAGTTGAGGATTTCAATCGAGATCTTCAATCAAGAGAATCCCATCTAACATGGACTAGATACAATCCATTCAAGACTTTCACTATACTAACATTTTCTTCCTACAGGACCCCACATAACTATCATCTTCCCATTTCAGCAGGAAGCAACTTGGAGAATGCTACGTCCCCTTTCCCCATTGTTGTCACTTAGGATAGTGTATATACCTAGTTAGCGATAGCTTCCTATTGTTTATGGTTGGGATTGGAAGGAGGTGTTCAGGCTTGGACACTTCTTTCCGCTGACTTTAGGGTTTAGTTAAAATAGATAGTTAGGATGTGACATAAACAGATTGTTGTATCCTCTTATATTTCACCTTTATGATTTGTTAATTTTGGATACTTTACACTGTTAAGTTTTAATCCTCTTTTAGATTAAAAGGGGAATTGTAGGGGATGCTGTAGCCATACTTGCTTAGGGGCTGGGTACAGGTGTGCCTGGCAACGCCTGCGAGGGCGTGGTCAGGGTGACGGAGGGAAGGTTATGAGTGAGGGACACTCATGTGGCAGGCTCCTTCTTTTGCTTTCATCTTTGGCTTGCTGTACTTACTGCTGCCCCGCCGGATGGCTAGGTCGCTCTGTAAGAAAGGCTTTTCCCTATTAAATTCCCTTGTATTTTTACCTGGCTCCGTTTTGGTAATTCGCACAATAATCCAACTTAAAGATTGCTCTATATCCACAAAATCACTGTTCAGGGCCAGTGAGATGGCTCAGTGGGAACAGACACTTGCTGCCAAGCTGTTCTCTCATCTACACACATGCATGGCTCCCGGGACCCACTGAAGGGACCAGCCCCCCATTTCAGCAGCCATGACAGTAACACGTGCTTGCTATGACCTTGCCTTGGTCACTAAGAGGTTAGGTGCCTGCCTCATGGCAAGGAACCAATCAGAAGTTAGCTGGTGGCGCTATGCTTTACGGCTCTGGGTGTGCTTTACGGACAAGTGCACAGCAATGATGCGGAGAGCATAGCAACCACCCTGGGAGGGCCTATGGGCTATAACAAGCAATTGGCCAATCAACACAGGGCAAGCCCTCCAAGCCTGGAGGCACACCAATCGTGAGCCTGTGTGTACCCCTAGACACTCCCCTTATGCTGACCTACAAGATCGCTCGACAGCCGGTTCAAGCTGTCTTTGCTAGCCATCTGCCATGGCGGGTGGGTGATAGACCTGAGCTAACATGGGGTTAGCTCATTAAAAAACAATAAAGCCTCATGCAGTTTGCTTCAAGCTCTCGAATCCGCCTGGTGATTGGGGTGACCGAGGTTGTGGCCTGGGACCCCAGATACCTGAGTTTTTCTGGGGGGTCTAACACCACAAAGTGGATGGAGAGAACCAAGTCCCACCAGCTGTTCTCTGATCTATGCACACAGCCACATGCCATGACATACATCCCCCCTCCCCCCACAGATCAGTATAATAAAATTCTTTGAATTAAACTCTCCAGGAGCTGGGGATACAGCTTACCAGTTTCCAGCACCCACATCAGGTGATTCAAACTGCCTATAACCTGTGCTCTAAGAGATCTGTCTGTCCTCTGGGGCAGCTTCCCCTAACACACACACACACACACACACACACACACAGAGAGAGAGAGAGAGAGAGAGAGAGACATAAACACATACACATGAATAAAAAGTAAATCTTAAAGATTAAGATAAAATAAAAGAGTAAGTTTTTTAAAGTGAAAAGAAAATGTTCTAGGTGGTGGTGGTGTACACCTTTAGTCCCAGCACTCAGGAGGCAGAGGCAGACAGATCTCTGTGAGTTTGAGGCCAGCCTGGTCTACAAATTGAGTTCCAGGTCAGTCAGAGCTATAGAGAAACCCTAACTCAAAAAACCAAAAAAAAAAAAAGAAAGAAAGAAAGAAAGGAAGAAAAAAAGGAAGAAAAAAAGAAGGAAAAGAAAAAAAAAGATGAACAAAATTAACAACACCTACCTATGTCATAGTGCATGGCAAAACTATCAATCAAACACCAATTTTCTGCTGTGGGGTCTGCAAAGCCCCAGCCTGTGAGAAGATGAGGCCACGACAGCAGAACTCTGAATGAATCATTCCCTAGTCTTCAGTTGACAGATCTCTAATAACTGGACTCCAGGTGGGTGGCCCTGAGGAGGTGGTGCCCATGGTTGATCCTTGGATTGTGTGTGGGGGTATCTCAAGTGTGAGGGGTCTAGGTGGAGACGTCCATTGCTCTTCCAAACTAATGAGGCATTAGTACACAAGGTTATTTCCTTATCTCCAATGTCTAATTTAAGGAATGTGAGACACAGACTCTCTGATGGCTACAACAGAGTTGAACTGAAATCCTGCTCCCATCCAAATCCAAGTACAGCCACTTACCTTGAGGATTAAGTGACTGAGCTCCTTATCCTGAATAAATGAAGGTCTAGAATTTTCTCCTAAGAAAGACTCTGTCATGCCTAAAAACAAATTGGCCAAAGTTACTGAAAGCACAGAGAAAGAAATTCCATAATTGCTCAGTGGACACCGTCCATGAGCTGCTGCGGCTATTACAATGACGGCGCAGTGGTGTTAGCAACATCTGGGGACTCTTGGGACCCTTCCCTCCCTCCCCTTCCTTCCTCCCCTCCCTCTTTTCTTCCTTTTTTTGTTAAATAGGACCTCCTATATTCTGGGCTGGCTTTGAACTCACTATGTAGCCCAGGACGACTTTGAACTCCTGATCTTCCTGCCCCACTTCCCAAGAGCTTGGATTACAGGTGTGTGCCACCACACCCGGTTTATGTGACACTGAGACTCCAACCCAGAGTTTCACAGGCTACTCTCTGCCTGTTGTGTCTATAACACAGTCCATAGGCACCCTCTGAAGTTTGGTGTCTAAGGTTTTGCTGAACCAATACAGCTGTGCTGTGCCAAACACACTGGAGCACAGAACCAAGTGTCTTAAGCCATCTTCACTAATGTGCTGTGCTGACTCAGGCTTGGTCAGGCTGTGTAGACAAGCAGCTGACCACATGATGGCTGAGAAGGGGTGTGGCACCAGATACATCAGCCCCTGGAAATGGCAATGGATTTAGAGTGTCTGCCCTGCTCAGTTCCCATAGTTCCTCCCAGCACACACCTCTGCTGGGACACATACCACACTAGGGGTTGTGTTGTTATATTTAAAACATTTTTTATTTATTCATGGGGGGATCAGTTCTCTCCTCCTACCATGTGGGTCTCAGGGACCAAACTCAGGTTGTCAGGCTTGTTGACAAGCAACTTTACCCGCTGAGCCATCTCACTGTCCCCACACCAGGGGACAATGACCTCACTGTGAGTCTACCCTCTTGTCAACAGAGACATCCAAAGGGCAGAGATTTTGCGCCTCTCTCTCTCTCTCTCTCTCTCTCTCTCTCTCTCTCTCTCTCTCTCTCTCCTCTCCTCTCCTCTCCTTTCTCTTAGTAGAGAATAGGTTTATAGCTGGTGTTCAATTCATATGTGTTGAATTAGCTGACTGACTCATGCCCCTGGGACAAGGCTAATATTAAGGTCCTTGGGTAATCTCTGGGATGGAATCAAATGACCCTGGTGTAGCCTGGAATTTCATTGCTAAAGATTCAAGAGAAACCAAGTAACTTATGCAAGCCTCAGGAGTGGGTAAAAGAGACTCTTGTTTCTCAACAGACTGATGGAACGAACCCAGATCTCTAAGCACAGAAAAGGAAGTCCCAGAGAGCTCTGCTCTCTCCTGCATCCCCAGTCTGGGAAGATTGTTGTCGGGGTCCACAGAACACCCTGTTCTCTGAAACTCTTGCTCTGTGCTTGGCTTTACAGGCAGAGATCTAGACAGGAACCACAAGGTGGCAGTGTGTATCCGTTTTATACTTTGCTTTGAGACAAGGACTCATGTAGCCCAGGCTGGCCTTGAGCTCCTAATCTGCTGGTCTACACCTTCATGTTGGGGTTTTTAGTGTCTGACAGCCTATCTTCTCACATGAAGGCAAGGAGTACAATTTTGCATGGTCATGGTAAGGCAGACAGACATATCATAGCCAGGACCAACCACAGAGTTAACAGAGCTCTTTGATAAAGAGATGATGCCCAGCCTGGGACAGCTCTCATCCTTACTTACCTCTCAGAGACCTCAAGTACTGCACTGCCCTCCTCAGGACGCTGAGCTTGTCCAGTTTTCGGGCAGCGGGGCTGAGTGGAGGGATCACAGATGACAGCTCCTGAATCAGATGGTTCATCTTGTCTCTCCGCCGCTTCTCCATCTGGCTGTGAGCTTCCCTGAGAGGGAGAAAGAACATCCTTGGCTAATGTTCACCCCGTTGCCCAGAGGCACTAGGGGTGCAGGACCCATGGCTCTCAGGATGCTCTTACAGCAGCTGCACTTACGTGAGAAGCTGGCGCCTCTGGGGAAAGTGCTTGTGAAAGCACCCACCACATCCAGCGGCTTTGACCATGAACTTCCTGAGCTAAGACATCTGTGGTCTACGGGCTGTGGTTTCCTCCCTCTCCGCTGTGGGACAGTGAGTGGCCTCTTCTCATTAGAGGTGACCTGAAACTTGCACAGCTGTTGCCCTTACTTCATCCCCCTCCAGCTCCAGACTGTGTCCAAAAGTGCTGGAGCCCTGTTCTGAAAGACACAGCGCTGATTCTAGTACTGTTGCTGTGGTTTTTGATGCTAAGTCTTCCGTTTCCAACTGGTTTTCCCTGAAAGCACGTGGTCTCCACTGAAGCTTCTCCATGTTTAAAATCATGTACTCTGGAGACTTGTGCAGGAAAACCACTGAGAGTTCAAGGCCCGCCTGAGTTATGCATCAAGACCCTCTCTCCAAAGCACAAGGCAAAGAAAAGCCTACACTTCTGCCTACTATTCTAGAAAGGGTTTTACAGTTTCTGTTTCATTATGATGACTATCATCACCATCATCACCATCACCATCACCACCATCATCACCATCATCACCATCAGCATCATCACCATCATCACCATCATCCCCATCACCATCATCCCCATCCCCATCACCATCATCCCCATCATCACCATCCCCATCATCCCCATCCCCATCACCATCATCCCCATCATCACCATCCCCATCATCCCCATCCCCATCACCATCATCCCCATCATCACCATCCCCATCATCCCCATCCCCATCACCATCATCCCCATCATCACCATCCCCATCATCCCCATCCCCATCACCATCATCCCCATCATCACCATCCCCATCATCCCCATCCCCATCACCATCATCCCCATCATCACCATCCCCATCATCCCCATCCCCATCACCATCATCCCCATCATCACCATCCCCATCATCCCCATCCCCATCACCATCATCCCCATCATCACCATCCCCATCATCCCCATCCCCATCACCATCATCCCCATCATCACCATCCCCATCATCCCCATCCCCATCACCATCATCCCCATCATCACCATCCCCATCATCCCCATCCCCATCACCATCATCCCCATCATCACCATCCCCATCATCCCCATCCCCATCACCATCATCCCCATCATCACCATCCCCATCATCCCCATCCCCATCACCATCATCCCCATCATCACCATCCCCATCATCCCCATCCCCATCACCATCATCCCCATCATCACCATCCCCATCATCCCCATCCCCATCACCATCATCCCCATCATCACCATCCCCATCATCCCCATCCCCATCACCATCATCCCCATCATCACCATCCCCATCATCCCCATCCCCATCACCATCATCCCCATCATCACCATCCCCATCATCCCCATCCCCATCACCATCATCCCCATCATCACCATCCCCATCATCCCCATCCCCATCACCATCATCCCCATCATCACCATCCCCATCATCCCCATCCCCATCACCATCATCCCCATCATCACCATCCCCATCATCCCCATCCCCATCACCATCATCCCCATCATCACCATCCCCATCATCCCCATCCCCATCACCATCATCCCCATCATCACCATCCCCATCATCCCCATCCCCATCACCATCATCCCCATCATCACCATCCCCATCATCCCCATCCCCATCACCATCATCCCCATCATCACCATCCCCATCATCCCCATCCCCATCACCATCATCCCCATCATCACCATCCCCATCATCCCCATCCCCATCACCATCATCCCCATCATCACCATCCCCATCATCCCCATCCCCATCACCATCATCCCCATCATCACCATCCCCATCATCCCCATCCCCATCACCATCATCCCCATCATCACCATCCCCATCATCCCCATCCCCATCACCATCATCCCCATCATCACCATCCCCATCACCACCATCATCACCATCACCATCATCACCATCACCATCACCTATGTCTCTTTAGAGATTGGTCCCCTGCTTGGTTCCTGACTGCCCAGGGGCAGAGAACCTAGGAGAACACACTCCTTCCCAAGGCTCCGCAGGCGCCCCGGCTGCGTTCTGTGACAGTGTCTGCCATGCTCCTCCCTCCAGCCTTTGGAGACAGTTCTGCCCCTGAATGCTTCCCAAGGAATCTGCAACTAAAGGAATTCCAAACCGCAGGCACTCTAACATCTGCCCCTTCCGTCTCCTCCCTCCACTCCTGCGAGCTCTCCCCTGTGTGCGACCGTGGCGGGCAGCACATGGAGATTCATTCTCAACACCTTGTTTTCCTCACAGGGTCAAACAGTCATGAAGCTCTATAGTTTATAATATTCCACAATCATGTCTCCTCCCCCTCAGCCACCATCAGCCTCACTCTGGGGCCCCGCGCTGCCTCCAAAGCCTTTTAAATTGAGCCTCCTTCCAATGCTTGCTTTCCTCAGCCGCTCTAGGCTACCCACACTTCCACAGTTGCCATCCAACAATCCTCACCCATTCCATACTGCTCTCCTTTTGAAACGCAATGTGTCTAATCTGGTGCTCAGCCTCCTGTTCTACCAGGTGTCACATAGCAGGTTGCTTTTTTGTTTGTTTTTGTTTTGCTTTATTTTGTTTTTTGAGGGCTAGAGAAATGGCTCAGTAGTTAACAGCATTGCTGCTCTTGTACAGGACTGGCACTGAGTTTCTAGCACCGCAGGTGACTCACAGCTGCTTGTAACTCCAGTTCCAGGGCATCTCACACCCCTTTCTGGCCTCTGTGGGAACTGCATACATGGTGCACATACATGCAAGCAGGCAGACACTCATATACATAAATCCTTTTTGAAAGATTTTATTATTTGTTTCTCTGTGTGTATATGTGTGTTGGAGGGGGTACCCATGGAGGCCAGAAGAGAGTATCTGATTCTTTAGAGCTCGAGTTACAGGCAGTTGTGAGTCACTGGGGGTGCTAGGATCCAAACTTGGGTTCTCTGAAAGAGTAACACGTGTTTTTAACTGCCGAGACATCTCTTTAGCCCCACATAGTAGGTTCTTTTTTGTTTTGTTTTGTTTTGTTTTTTTGTTTTTTCGAGACAGGGTTTCTCTTTGTAGCTTTGGAGCCTATCCTGGCACTCACTCTGGAGACCAGGCTGGCCTTGAACTCACAGAGATCTGCCTGCCTCTGCCTCCTGAGTGCTGGGATTAAAGGTGTGTGCCACCAACGCCCAGCCATAGTAGGTTCTTAATAAATGTTGAATAACTACATAGTACAGGATCTTGATCAAAGTCCCTTTGAAAGAATCAGCTATCCACCCAAAGCCAACAGTGCCACACCAAGTGACCATTCTCACAGGGTCTTCTTTACAAGTATTAAACAATCTGGGGCTATGGAAACAAAACTTCTCATATGTCTGTGGGCTGGCTTTCTCACCCTGAGAGAGATAGTACACATATCCAGCACTTAGCAAGAACTGCAGTTTGAAATATCCTGGAAAACGATAGGAGAACTGGGCCAGGGCAAAACTCTGAGGAGCACAGTGAGCAAAACCTGCTTCCTTCACAGGGCACACCCTCTTCTCGTAACAGGGACACTAGGCAGACTAACCTGCCTTCCGCCATTGGGTGCTGCTAGCTCTATTCTTGTTGAAGGAAGGGAGGTAAAGGGTTCTAGGGGAAGTTTTCCACCATTGTTTCTGTCATGAATTCTCTTCCTTCTGGAAGGAAGGAGGCCTTGGGCCATCCCCTGAATGGTAAATCTCGTAGTCACCTGACAGGATTTGGAATCACCTAGAAGACACACCTCCAGGCATGTCTATGAGACTATTCTTAGAGAGGCTTAACGGAGGAAGAAAAACCCTCTCTGAATTATGGAGTTCAAGGCCAGCCTGAGCTACAAGTGCCACATAGTGAGTCCCAGCCTAAGTAGTATTACATACAGAAACTGTGTCTCAAAAAGCAAAAAAAAAAGACCAAACAAACAAACAAACAAAAAACCCCCCCACACACATGCAAAAAAACAAAACAAAACAAAACAAACAAAAAACCAACCTAGTAGGAACTATCATTTGTTATCAGATGATAACTCAAGATGAAGGTAACTGTCCTTGGCCAGCTGCCCCTCTGTATACCTCATTAATGGGAGAGGGTGGAGAACACAGTTAAATCAGGGAGGAATCTCCCAGTCACGTGCAGTTGGCCAGCGCCACTGTCCTGGGGATTAGAGCTAAAAGATGGAGTACCCTGGTGAGGACTGACTTAAACAGACCGAGGAAGCTTATTTTCATGCTCTTCTCTAACTCAGAGCTTTGCCCTTCAGGTGCGGTGGGAAACTGTCCCCAACTCCCCCATTCACACACTGCCATCCCACGGTCTGCCCCAAACGATTTTACTGTATAAACCTTGCTTTGGGGGAGTAATTAAGGAATACCTTAGGCTACAAGGAGCATAAGAGGCAGAGCTGGATGAAGGGTGGCTCAGGGGTAGAGTGTCTGCCTAGAATCCTCCCGTGAGGATCTGGGGTGTGGCTCAGAAGCACAAACCTTGCCTAGCACCCTTGGGGCCCTGGGTTTATTCCCAGCAACACAAAAACAAACAAGCAAGTAACAAGGGGATCATAGTCTCACCGTTGTCTTCATCATCCACCTGGCTTAGTAACTATGGAAACAAGAGCTTTGTAAGATTTAAACTGACTTCGGATCACCGAGGCCTGGTTATTCTGTGACTGTCGAGTTGGGGGGGGGGGTGGCGGTCAGTGAAGTGACCGGAAGCCAAGCATTGCTGAATCTTTTGCTCCAGGTGGAGTATTCTGATGAGGAAGGGGGGCGCTGGCTGTGACTGTGAGCATTACACATTGATTATGCCCCATCATCTATCTCCTTCAGGTCCTGACTGACCCTCCCGGACATCCATCATCACCAGCCCTGGCAGGCAAGGTCACTGACAGGTAGCGGTAGGCGGCGACCAGCTGCCATGCTGTCACAGACTTAGAAATGATGTAAACATGGCCCCCTTTTTCTGACTGACAGATTTCATGGAGTTAGAGCAATGTGCACTTACTGTGCCGACTCTGAATCACTGCCTTTGCGTTTCCTTGGAAACTCCATTACAAGAGAGTTGATGGGTCCAGGAGCTGTGAGTTTTGTCCCTGGGTTCACGTGACTAGAAACCACAAGAGAAAGGCTCTGGCTCTCTCTCAGCCCTTTACCTGTGAGTGAGAAAGCATAGGAAGACGCATTTCAGACTTAATTTTCATCTTATGCATTATCATATCACACAATTTAAACGAGAGAGGATCCAAATATTTAGTTTGAATCATGCGTGTCCATCCATGTTTGAAAGTTTACGTGACTGTGCAAGACACTGAAACAAGTGTATGGAGGGCACACAGTGCAGGGGCAGCCAGGGTGGAAGCCGTTAAGTGACACTGGGGAACAGCAACGGGGACAGATAAATGACAGTCTTGCTTCCTGGCTCTGAAATACATGACTGTGATCGTCTGTAGCCAACGGAGGGCTGACTATTTCAAGTAACCT